TGAGTGCCTACAGTAGATAGGCCTCATTTACCTGATTTATGAGCTCCTACAGTAGATATTTAAGCAGTCTTTCTAAATCTAAAAGTATTTGATTCTTTGTACCTGAAGAAATAGTAAATTTAAAATGTATCATTTCTTTACCTATTCTTTACCTTGGAATTTCAAACCAAAGTATATTTTCAATCAACATTATTTTTTGAGAAGGAGTTTCGCTGTTGTTGCCCAAGCTGGAGTGAAATGGTATGATCTCAGCTCACTGCAACCTCTGCCTCCCAAGTAAAGTGATTCTCCTGTCTCAGCCTCCCAAGAAGCTGGGATTACAGGTGCCATATACACAATAGGTGGCCTACTTTCCGGGTAGAATTCATACTTTATTAACAGTAATTTCTCTCAAATAAGGAAATTAGGAAGTTTATGTCAGTTTACCAATAGGTTCATTGAAGTTCAAGGCAAACTAAGTTTGTTAATTTGAAATTTTCTGCTATTTGCTTATGATATTCACTTGCAGAACTTCTAAAATTCTATGGAAAGTCTGAATTTAGACACATCGGTTTCACTTTAAAAATGAGGCAATAAAACACAAAATAACTTATAGTCTGTATTTTTCATTATTCTTGAAAATAATTCATAGTTTTAAATGTATAGACATTTTAAACAGCTTGTTTGATGTTTCCATATTGTCAGCATTTGAGGCCGTCTTCAACATCCAGTAGTAGTGTTCTAAGAAACAAGATGAAAATGTGTTAATTCTTTGTCTAAAAGAATATATAGTATAGGGCTGGGCGTGGTGGTTCACGCCTGTAATCCCAGCACTTTGGGAGGCCAAGGTGGGCGGATCACAAAGTCAGGAGATGGAGACCATCCTGGCTAACATGGTAAAACCCATCTCTACTAAAAATATAAAAACTTAGTTGGGCGTGGTGGCACATGCCTGTAGTCCCAGCTATTTAGGAGGCTGAGGCAGGAGAATCGCTTGAACCTGGGAGGTGGAAGTTGCAGTGAGCTGAGATCGTGCTGCTGCACTCTAGTCTGGGTGATAGAGCAAGACTCCGTCTCAAAAAAAAAAAGAATATATATTATGTCTGATGTGGACAATTTCCTTCATCTTGGGCTATAAATTAATGCGATTTTTCATTTATCATAATGGATGTTAGCCAGTATCTGTTAGTTTATACATCTGCTTATTCTAATATTAAGGTATTATAATCACTTCTAGTGTCATAATTATCTATTTTTACGCTTTCTCATGAGAATAGCTGTGTCATTGTACAGAACATAAGCCTGTGTTTTCCAGGTCTAGAATGACACATATGACATTATATTGTCACTATTTGAGTGATTCCTATTTCTAAATGCTTTGTTTTGCAAAAACTTTATGTTTAGAAATTTTGAAGTAAGTTGGAAGGTTTTTTTGCTACCATATCCGCTGTTGATCAGTTGTTGTTTTCTGGAAGACAACCTCTGTATCTGAATTTACATATGTCTAAATTTATTTGTCTTACTCTGACTTATTATTTACTCTTATAGGAAAAAAAAGCTAAGAAATGTTAGTTGAATGCTAATTAGCTAAAACGAAAGGGTTAAGTTTTCTTTTTTTTCTTTTTTTTTTTTCCCAGATGGAGTCTTACTCTGTTGCCAGTCTGGAAGTGCAGTGGCACAATCTCGGCTCATTGCAACCTCCACCTCCCAGGTTCAAGCGATTCTCCTGCCTCAGCCTCCCCGAGTAGCTGGGACTACAAGCACCTGCCACCACACCCAGCTAATTTTTGCATTTTTGGTAGAGAGAGGGTTTCACCATGTTGGCCATAATGGTCTCGATCTCTTGACCTCGTGATTTGCTCAGCCTCCCTAAGTGCTGGGATTATAGGTGTAAGCCACCACGCCTGGTCTTAGTTTTCTTTAAAAATGTTGTTAACCCATTGTGTGACCATTTTTTCTTTTTTTTAGCAATTAAGAAAACACTACTTGTTTGCATTTATAGATATTAAACTGATTTTTTCATTGTTTGTCAGCATCCTCTAGTATCTCAGAAAAATTAGCAATTTAGAAGGTCTTAAGTATTTGCTACTGCTATTTTTCTATTTAGTATGTGACAGTTATTAAACTAAAATTAGAGTTTGTTTTCATAGTTTAAAATTATTCACTCACTAAAATACCTCTCTTGATCCAGGTTCTAGCAACCATAATTTGATGTTTGAAGTTTTTTCAGTTCTTGTTTGGTTTGGCAGGGAAGGGCATGCTGTTAATATTATAAAACTATTACCTAGCTCTGGGCAATTTAGTAAATTAGTGACTAGTCAAACCTACTGAAAAGATTGACTGTTAACCCCAAGGATCAATCATTTAAGCTTGTCAACCAAGCTTGGAACCAGAATCTAGAGGCTTTACTCAGAAAACAATTTTGGGGTGACAAAAAAAACATCAGCTTTGAAATATAACAAGAGAACTCTGTGGGTGAGGTGGTTCACGCCTGTAATTTCAGCACTTTGGGAGGTCAAGACAGGCGGATCATGAGGTCAGGAGATCAAGACCATTCTGGCTAACACGGTGAAACCCTATCTCTACTAAAAATACAAAAAATAAGCTGGGCGTGGTGGCATGTGCCTATAGTACCACCTACTCCGGAGGGTAAGGCAGGAGAATCACTGGAACCTGGGAGGCGGAGGTTACAATAAGCCAGGATCGCGCCACTGCACTCCAGCCTGGGTGACAGAGCGAGACGCCATCTCAAAAAAAAAGAAAAAGAAAAAGAGAAGTCTGCTGAAGAGTTCAAAGTAAAAATGAACATTCAGCCAGAGACTGAAACAATATGCTAAACTGACTTTTGATTGATGAACCAAAACTCCATGCGAGGATAAAAATTAAATTTAGTAATTGATACTGCATATGAGCCAGAGACACTGTGTATGACAAAGAAAAATGAACCAGGTGTGATGATCGGAATCCCAGAATCTCACCCTAAATTTCCAGAGAGTTTGAAAAGACTGATTTATAGGATTAGTGCATGATGGCATCAGACTCAGGGGACGAGAGCTGTGGTCTAAGAGTAGAGTAACTAGTGAGTGAAATCTAATATATCCTTATTATAAAGGGAACCTGATGTGCCTAGACATGAGTAAACAATAAATTCTGGCCTTGAGGATGAAGCAGTGTCGAAGCAAATCTGGGCCAGACAGAAAGTTTGAATATCTTTGATTAGCATCTATACTGGACATGGTGAATCCAGCTCAGTTCCTTTGGCAAATACTTATTATTTGTCAAGGAAGATTAAGAAATCAACCTTGTTTTTTGTTGTTGTTGTTTTGGTTTTTTGTTGTTGCTGTTGTTGTTTTTTAAGAGAAGGGGTCTCGGGATGTTGCCCAGGCTGGAGTGCAGTGGCTATTCACAGGCGCGATCCCACTACTGATCAGCACCGGAGTTTTGACCTGCACTGTTTCCCACCTGCTCTGTTTCCCACCAGGTTCACCCCTCCTTAGGCAACCTGGTGATCCCCAGATCCCCGGCTCCCGGGAAGTCACCATATTGATGCCAAACTTAGTGCGGACACTCGATCGGCATAACACACTACAGCCCAGAACTCCTGGGCTCAAGCGATCCTCCCACCTCAGCCTCCTGAGTAGCTGGGACTACAGGCACGCGCAACTGTGCCCTGTGAAATGGACCTTGTTTTTGGGTTAATGTGACAGATGCATAAATAATCATTTTAACAGAAAACAATAGAAGGATATAAAGACTGCTTTGGTAGTTAAGAGAAGGAGTATTTAGCCTAACCTGGATTTTTTTTAAGGCTTCCTTGAGGAGATGAAGCCTGAGAAGAGTTTCTGATGGATAGGAGTTAGATAAAGACAAAGCAGAATATTGAGAAAGGACAGTATAAACTGAAGAGTCATAAAATAGCATGAAACTAGTTGAATGTTTGCCTAGCTTATCGTTCTCCCTAGGCCAGGATTTCTTAACCTTCTACTTTCTGGGAGCAGCTGTCCTCTGCATTGGAGGATGTTTAACAGCATCCAAGGCCCGTAGCCACTAGATGGCAGCAGCAGCGGCAGCTGCCACATCTGCCCCAGTTGGGGGACAATCCTGGTAAGAACCACTGACCTGGGCTAAAATTTGGTTAAATTTGGATTATATATTCTGAAACTCAGTGCCTTTACCCAGTTTCTTTGAAGAATGAAACTTAGATTGTTTTCTTTTATATTCTCCTTTTCCCTTTGTAAAAAATTCTTTTCAAATTCCACCCTAGCCTTAATCAAAGAAGAAACTAAATTATTTTCATATCTTGTGGAGTGAAAAAGGTGTGGCTAGAGTTCTATGTGTATGGTGGCTGTGACCACTCAATACTTTTTAGAGAACTGGATAACCAGAAACAATATAGATAGGTTTTTCACTCAGTTATAAGAACATCAAAATTTAGACTCTGTGATAGTTTTATTTCTCTCAGCAGCTGTTTCAGCACTGTTTCTAGATTTATTCTAAAACTTACAATACGGAAAATTCTATTGTACACAAGAAAATGTAAAAATGGTTAGATACCAGATGTATGTGAGAAAAAAGAGTTTAGCATTATAATTACTCAGGCCCACAAGGAACGACAGGATTTGTGCCATGATCTTCTTTCTAGTGTCTGAAGAATTATTCTAATGATGATACCCAGCTTCTTTGAAAAATGAGAAGATGAAACTTAGATTGCTGCAGGACTTTAGGATTAAATTAGAAAATCGGCAAGCATATTTTTTAAAAAACTATTAAAGGCAGCTGGGTGCAGGGGCTCACACCTGTAATTTCAGCATTTTGGGAGACCAACGCTAGTGGATCACAAGGTCAGGAGTTGGAGACCAGCCCGGCCAATATGGTGAAACCCCATCTCTACCAAAATATACAAAAATTAGCCGGGTGTGGTGTCATGTGCCTGTAGTCCCAGCTACTTGGGAGGCTGAGGCAGAAGAATCGCTTGAACCCAGGAGTTAGAGGTTGCAGTGAGCCAAGATTGCACCACTGCACTCCAGCCTGGACAACAGAGCAAGACTCTGTCTCAGGGAAAAAAAAAAAAAAAGCTGTTAAAAGCATAAGCCAGACTTAACAATTTTTAAGTATCAGGCTGATAAAAACAACTTATGATTTTATTTTATTTTATTTTATTTTTTGGAGACGGAGTCTCGCTCTTGTTACCCAGGCTGGAGTGCAATGGCGCGATCTCGGCTCACCACAACCTCCGCCTCCTGGGTTCAAGCAATTCTCCTGCCTCAGCCTCCTGAGTAGCTGGGATTACAGGCACGTGCCACCATGCCCAGCTAATTTTTTGTAGTTTTAGTAGAGACGGGGTTTCACCATGTTGACCAGGATGGTCTCGATCTCTTGACCTCGTGATCCACCTGCCTCGGCCTCCCAAAGTGCTGGGATTACAGGCTTGAGCCACCGCGCCCGGCTACAACTTATGATTTTAAAGTACTTTAAAAGTTATTTGCATATGTGTGTGTGTATATATATATATGCATATATATATATATATACACATGCATATATATGTCTTTATATTGTATATACACATACATATTGTATATTAGGGTAATAAACTTCAATTAGTATAAACTGCTTCTAATTCTACTGGCTAACTTTCCTTTTTATTTAACATTCTACATTCTGTTAGGTAGTAGGGGTACAAGTATGAATAATATTGAGCCACTAGCCTCAAGGAAGTCATAATCTTGATAGGTTCATAGAATTACAAATAACTAGAGTAAAATATGTAAAATGCACTGTGGTGGATTTTTAAATGACATTGAATTAATGAATTTTGCTGTGAGAATAATATGAATTAGTTTGAGAGGGATAAAAAATATCAAGGACTGTGTGAAATTATAGAAGATAGAATGTGTAGCATTGCTATCACGTAAGGCTAAAGGCAAGTAGTTTGCACTACCTGGCGATACTTTTCTAAACCTGCTTACTAAGAAAAAAAAGTTACAGAGCAGCAATTGTCACTTTAACATTTTCCAGATTTTGCTGCTTAATGTTAAGATTAAACTTAGGTGGGCACGGCAGCTCATACCTGTAATCCCAGCACTTTGGGAGGCTGAGGCAGGTGGATCTCCTGAGGTCAGGAGTTTGAGACCAGCCTGGCCAACATAATGAAACCCTGTCTCTACTAAAAAAAAAAAAAAAAAAATTAGCTGGGCATGGTGGCAGCCACCTGTAATCCCAGCTACTAGAGAGGCTGAGGCAGAAGAATTGCTTGAACCCGGGAGGTGGAGGTTGCAGTGAGCTGAGATCACACTACTGCACTCTAGCCTGGACAACAAGAGCGAAACTCTGTCTTTAAAAAAAAAAAAAGACTGACCATTTTTATAGTTGAATTACACAGTGCATAAAATACACAAAAATGGGGTGTTATCACTGGGTTCATTTTCACTTGGAATGAGAATACTTCTTGAGTGTAAAACTAGTATGAAAGTACATTAGAACTGTTTCCCCAAAATGTTTTTATACAGCAGTATATTTATTGAAAAAAATCTGAATATAGTTGGACCTGTGCAGTTCAAACCTATTCAAGGGTGAACTGTACTGTGATACTGTGGTGCCTCTCTAAGTGTTAACTGAAATACAAAGTATGCAAAAAGCATAGTAAAAGTGGTTAAAAATAGATTGATAAATCCTTTGGTTTGTAAAGTTTGGTGACATCTTTTAAAAGACATGTATAAGATATTTGGTTTATTCCTGAATTTTTCTTTTCTTTCTTTCTTTTTTTTTTTTTCAGGTCCCAGAACAGTTTTTTTCTGGGCTCCAATTATGAAATGGGTAAGTCTTGAGTTTTTGCAGAGGCTACTGAAAGAAAAACTCCTTAATAGGAATTTACTAATTTAAAGTAACTTATATGAAGGATATACTTTAGAATATTCTTGGTATGCCTAGATGATTTCATGAAAATCAATTCTCAGACATTATTTTCTACATAAAGTAACTATCTACTTTAGTTTTTCTGAACTCTTTAGATAAGAGGCTCTCTGGGAACATAGTTGTTATCAAAAAACTTACAATTGTGTGCCATAAGGACATGGAATTTTATTCTAAAATTTTATTACTAAGTAAAACATTAAAGTAGTTAGAACCCCAAAGTTAACTTTTATTATTAATTTAGTATGAGAACTGAAGGTACTAACACCAAAATATAGGTGAGGAAAGTTAGTCTCAAAAAGTAGACTTATTTATTTAAGTATAAAGATTAGCATTTGGTAAATAAGAGAACCTAGGACTTCTGACTCCAAACCCAGTGCTTTTCCTCTTCCCCAGAGTTTTCTTTCTCAAAGTTCTCACTTAGCTAAAAAGAAACAATTATGGCTGTTTGTAGCAAATCATTAATTTTATGTTGAAAGGGCCAGTTTGGGTCTATAACTGTGCTTCTTAAATTGTCATCTCTCTGGACCTGCAGTGGCATAATTTGAGAACTTGTTCAGCCCCATCACAGACCTACTAAATCTAAAACTCTAGACATGGAGTCTAGTGAGCTGTGTTTTCATAACATCTTCATGTGATTCTCTGATGCCCTCTAAAGTTTTTCAAAACTACTGGTCTGTAGGCTTTTTTATTTTTTAATGTGGTAAAATACACATAAAATTTACTATCTTAACCATTTTCAAAGTATACAGTTCAGTAGTGTTAAGTACATTAATAACGTTATTAACATTCTGGAGATTGGTTAATCTCCAGAACTCTTTTTATCTTTCAAAAGTAAGACTGTACCCATAATTCTCCATTCTCTTTCTCCCAGTCCCTGGCAACCACCATTCGACCTTCTGTCTCTGTGAATTTCACTACTCTAAGTACCTCATGTAAATGGAATCAAATATTATTTGTCTTTTTGTAGTTGGCTTATTTCACCTAGCATAATGTCCACAAGGTACATTCATGTTGTCACTTGTGTCAGAATTTCCTTTCTTTTTAGGGCTGAATAGCATTCCATTGTATGTATTTACCACATTTTTTAAATTCATCTATATGTTGATTGGACAATTGGTATGCTTCCACATTTTTGCTGTTGTGAATAATGAATGAATAATTGATGTACAAGTATCTGTTTAAGTCCATACTCTTAATTCTTCTTGAATTAAAAGTATATACCCAGAAGTTGAATTGCTGGATCATATGATAATTCTGCTTAATATTTTTTATTTTCCTCAGCAGCTACATTATTTTGCATTTCTACCAGCAATTCATAAGGGTTCTAATTTCTCCACATCCTCACCCACACTTGTTGCTTTTGATGAGGGAGCGTTTTGGTTTTCATTTTATGATAGGCACCTAATGGGTGTTAGAGATCTTGTTGCTTTTATTTGCATTTCCCTAATGATTAGTCATGTTGAACGTACACTTACTGTACTTATTGGTCAGTTGTGTATATTCTTTGGAGAAGTGTTTATTCAAGTCCTTTGCCCATTTTTTAATTTGATCAAGTTGTTTGTTTTTTGTTGTTGTTGAGTTGTAGGCTGTTGTAATTCTCTTAAATGTACTTTTTTTTTTTTTTGAGACAGAGTCTCGCTTTGTCGCCCAGGCTGGAGTGTAGTGGTTACATCTCGGCTCACTGCAACCTCTGCCCCCCTGGCTCAAGCGATTCTCCTGCCTCAGCCTCCTGAGCAGCTGGGATTACAGGTGCCTACCACTATGCCTACCTCATTTTTTTGAATTTTTAGTATAGACAGGTTTTTACCATGTTGGCCAGGCTGGTCTTGAACTCCTGACCTCAAGTGATCCACCCACCTCGGCCTCCCAAAGTGCTGGGATTACAAGTGTGAGCCACTATACCCAGCCAAATGTACTTTTAAAATGGTTAGAACAATTCAGAAACTCAGTTGTAAATTCAAGTGGTTGAGAATGTTAGAGTTGGAATTGGGTATGACTCAATCTTATGGCCTTGGGCACGTTTAGTCTCTGTCATTTTATCTCTTAAACTATAAAGTGACAAGATTAGAATATAAGAGATTTTGGAGCTGTATATTACAGAGATCTAGGGAGCAGTTTTTTTTTTTTTTTTTCATATCTACATATTGAGAAAAGATCCTAAAACCCCTTAGACTAATGGAAGTTCATTACCATTTCCTTCTTCTCTCCCTATCTGCACTTAAAATTATATATACCTGCAATTAAAATTATATATCTTTATAGTGGAATTTATTGCTGAAGTATTCAATCATTAAAAGTGTTTGAGTGATTTCATCTATTCACAATAAATTTAGGGGCCTCTTTGACCTCAAATTTATCATAGTTTAGGAGTTTATTGAATTTATCAATAGCTTTGGTGTTTATTTGACCTGGTTCATTACTGCTGTGGGATGTTGACAGCATTATATACTCATAAGTGCATTCTTGATCATCTGTCTCTTTAAGAACAACTATTTTAAGTACATGTTGTAGTCATACATAGTCTCCAGATGACAGCATAGCAATAGAAACTTCTTTGTTTTGTTCTCTGGTGAACAGACTTCTTCTATTAGATACTTACCTTATGTACCTCTTATTGTGTTTTCTTATCCCAGAGCATTTGATAATTAATCTGTAGAATTCTGTACATGACACATAATAGTTGCTTCTGAAAGCCACATATGTTCTATAACATTAAGACTTTCAGGCCATATGCCTTCAAAAATATAACTATAGTAGAGTCCTTTGTAATCAGTTTAGTTGAAACCACATAACTAATCATAAAGGTCAAAGTGGATAATCCTAAAAAAAAAAAAACAAAAAAACCTATGTACCTTAAATATTTTATTTTAACCTAAAGGATATAAATATATATTCATTGACAATCAGTCTTCTTTAAAGCTAAAGCTTTTATTTGTGTATGGATTTTTGAGTTTCATATTTTCTATCCTGGATAAATTACACGATAGTGCATCCCATATAATTTCCAGCTTAGTTTTCTTTCTTTTTTTTTTTTTTTTTTTTTTTGTTGTTGTTGTTGTTGTTGTTTTGTGACAAAGTCTTGCTCTGTCATGCAGGCTAGAGTGCAGTGGTGCGATCTCGGCTCACTGCAACCTCTGCCTTCCAGGTTCAAGTGATTCTCCTGCCTCAGCCTCCCAAGTAGCTGGGATTACTGATGCCTGCCACCGCACCAGCTGATTTTTGTATTTTAGTAGAGATGGGGTTTCACTATATTGGTCAGGCTGGTCTCAAACTCCTGACCTCAGGCGATCTGTCCACCTCAGCCTCCCAAAGTGCTAGGATTACAGGGGTGAGCCACCGTGCCCACCTGCTTAGTTTTCTTTAAAACAATTTGTTAAATCATATAAATTACATTAACGGGTAAAACTGGCATAAACAGATTTGGGGGCAAACATAGTAACTTGGTAAAAATACAGCTCATCTGGTGGGAGCAAAACCCATAGGCACAATAGAGAGTGTCAAAAACACAGAAAAGAAATGACCATTTATATGCTGATGTTAAAGAAAAATGATCTAATGGCCAGGTGTGGTGGCTTACACCTGTAATCCCAGCGCTTTGGGAGACCAAGGTAGGCGGATCACTTGAGGTCAGGAGTTCGAGACCAGCCTGGCCAACATGGTGAAATCCCGTCTCTGCTAAAAATACAAAAATTATTCAGGTGTGTTGACACGCACCTGTAATCCCAGCTACTTGGAGGCTGAGGCATGAGAATTGCTTGAACCTGGGAGGAGGAGGTTTCAGTGAGCCTAGATTGTGCCTTTACACTCCAGCCTGGGTGACAGAGCCAGATGCTGTCTCAAAAAAAAAAAAAGATCTAAGCCAAAAACTAAAATAACAGTTTTTCTGATATTTACACTCTTAAAAAATAATTCATTTGAAGCTCAAACGTCAGCATCATACAATATATCCATGTAACAAACCTGCACATGTACCCCTGAATCAAAACTTTAATTTAATTAAAAATAATAACATTATCAGAAAACATCAAAGGAAGAATCTATAGAAATGACCTTAACAGCTTTCAGGTATCCTCCACGCCAGTAGGTAGTAGTTCCCAACATATATAAAAAATATAAACTCATATGTGAAATAGACAAAAACCCAAAATATGTATGTACATATAATGCATACATATATATCTTATCTATATATATACTACTGACTTTCAGATATATGAGACTGCTTAGTGTGCTTAACAAAATAAAATTAGTTCAAAAAGCAGTTTTTTAATTCATTGTGCTTTTTTGTTGTAATCTACATTTTCTTAATGCATGGATATTAAAATTGTAGCTGCTAACTTATGGAAATCTCAAAAATGTTTTGTGCTTAACTAAAATTAAAAACTATTACTCCACACTCATGATACTTTTTTTCTTTCTATGTGTTAATATGTATTCCCAGGGGTTGGTGTGTGCTGGATTAGCTGATATGGCCAGACCTGCAGAAAAGCTTAGCACAGCTCAATCCACTGTTTTGATGGCTACAGGTAAATTAAATAAGTATCTTCTGTGTTCCTTGTAGAATATAAATTATTTTTATGTAGTTTTATATCAGTTTATTTAGTGGCTTAGTGTTTGAAATACACCCACATACAAAGAAATTAACTGCATTATGTCTAGGAAGCTATTAAATTATGGATGGAGGAGTCAGAGAAAGAATAAGTATCTGAATGGGCTTTTGTTTGTCAGGTTTTTGCCATGAACATATATTTTTTAAAGTAGGAAGAAAATTACAGTTCATATTTACTTTAAAGATTCCTCTTTAATGTAAGAATCGAATATTTTGTGTAACACTAAGTTACAGAAACATTATTGAAAATTCAGAGTACAGCATTTCTTTGTCCTTCATCCTGCATTATTTTTATAATTATTTTACTCAATATTAAGTATTCACTGAAGTTATTGCAGCAGTATGTACGCTTTTTAAAATAACATTTTGTTTCAACAGGGTTTATTTGGTCAAGATACTCACTCGTAATTATTCCAAAAAATTGGAGTCTGTTTGCTGTTAATTTCTTTGTGGGGGCAGCAGGAGCCTCTCAGCTTTTTCGCATTTGGAGGTAAGCCTACCAGAGATATTTTTAAAACTCCTTCAAAAGCTACTCAGATAGCACTAATTTTTTTTTAAAGATTCACATATAATGCTAAGACAAGAAGTACCTGAAGTAGAAATTTAACATTTCTAGAAAAGTCCAGGGGTTTACAAATAAGTTAAAATCAGTTCAGCAGTATGTTACCTAGTTTTTAGATTTAACTGTGCATCGTTTAGATGGTTAAACCTTTCACATAATCTCTTTTATTAAGACAACATATACAGTTTATGATTTATTAATTTCCTATGTGAACCTTTTATCACTTACTTTCTTTTTTTTTTTCCTTGAGACAGAGTCTCACTCTGTTGCCAGGCTGGAGTGCAGTGGCACGATCTTGGCTCACTGCAACCTCCACTTCCTAGGTTCAAGCGATTCTTCTGCCTCAGCCTCTCTCCTGAGTAGCTGGGACTACAGGCATGTGCTACCATGCCCAGCTAATTTTCTTTTTAGTAGAGACAGGGTTTCACCATGTTGGCCAAGATGGTCTCCATCTTTCGACCTCATGATCCGCCCACCCTGACCTCCCAAAGTGCTGGAATTACAGGCGTGAGCCACCACACTCGGCCTACTTTGAATTGTATATAATAAAGTGGAACTGAAATGTATTGTTATGTAGTATTGGTAATGATATTACAGTGAGGTCTTTGCTTTCATTGGGAAAGTGTTCCATGAGCACTGGAAATTTTTTAAACTACTCTGTAGTTAATATTATTTGTCAGTGATTTATGGCAATGATATTATGATCAAATATTTGAAATCAGGATCTTTTGAGAAACTTAGGAGGTATGGTTGGCTTCATAGAATACATTTCTTCTTGTGCTTATACTATTCTCCATTCTATTATAAATGGGGAGGAATAATAAATGAAGCCTAAGGTGTGGTAGAAGGGAAGGAAAGACTATGGCTCTGTGGTTACTTCTTTGGATTGAGAATTGAGGAAATGGTCCCTAGTGTTAGTGAACTTAAGTGTTACTATTTACCTAATAGCCTGCCTGCATCACAGAAGTATATTTTACTTTAGTGGTTAGAAGTATATTTTACTTTGGTGACATTTTACTTTAGTGATTACTTTAGTATATTTTACTTTACCCCATTCCCTGTTGATCGTATTCTTAGGAAAGGTGCTTTTTGAGTATAAACTTAAAAATTCTAGATGACCACATTTTACTAAATTTTATACATATGATCACATGTTTGTCATACTCTTGTAAAATTCCAGAATGAGAATATTTAATAAAATAATACTTTTGCACAGGAAACTATATGTTAGCTAAGCTGTTACAAGTTTTTGGCAGTTGTGATCTTATTATCTGAGCAGAAACCAGATGCAAATGAACTCTTGGAATCCTTTTGCTTCTGCCTGTTTCTACCCGTAAGCCCCTCAGAAGATTCACTTTACAACTGTGTAGCTACTTGACCACCAGGAAAGAAGAAATGGAGTATGTTTCCCATTCTCTCCTTACCATAAATGTATCTATTATTATTGATGATTATTTTTCTTTCTGTTTTCTTTATAGATATAAGCAAGAACTAAAAGCTAAAGAACACAAATAAAAGAGTTCCTGATCACCTGAACAATCTAGATGTGGAAATAACCATTGGGACCTAGTTTATTATTTGGTTATTGATAAGGCTAAGCTAACTGTGAGTTTGGAAGGCACAATTAAATAACTGTAACTAGCAGCTAGTGCTTGATTCAGCAACAAAATAAAGCAAACTTTTAGTAGCAGTCTCTCTTTACATGACTTAAGGAACTTATCAGTGGATATCAGTAACATTTTTTCACCATTTGTCCACAATAAACGGTACTTGCCCATGTATACCCCAGCCTCCTTCTCTTCCAGTCAGCCAACATATGTACATAAAAGAGCACACAAATTCCAGAAGTTGAAAGATTAAATTATTTGCATATTTAGTGTAGGATGGTCAGGTAGCTGTAAGTGAAAGGAAATTTTGCCGAAGAGACTGAGAAATGGGTAGTGAATGACTATCAAGATGACCTCAAACTATTTTAAAACATTTTAACTTGCCCTGAAAAATCTTGATGATTTTTTTATAAATGTTCTATAAAATTCTTTTAGAGCTACAGATTTTTAAATAGGATTATTGTAAAGATTAATAATGTTTTAACATAGTCACATAGTCCCTGGTCCATGATAAGTATTAAATTTTTCAGTTACCCTCAGTAACTGGTATAATGTAGCAGAAAGTATTCTATATGCACATACCTGAATTTGAATCCCAGCTCTATGACTTATATGTTGTGACTTTTTTTTTTTTTTTTTTTTTTTTTTTTTTTTTTTTGAGACAGGGTCTCATTCCGTTGCCCAGGATGGAGTACAGTGGCACAGCCTTGGCTCATTACAAACCCTACCTCCTGGGCTCAAGCAATCCTCCTGCCTCAGCCTCCCAAGCAGCTGGGACTATAGGCACGCACCACCATGCCCAGCTAATTTTTATATTTTTTAGAGGTAGGGTTTTTGTCATGTTTCCCAGGCTGATCTCCAGCTCCTGGGCTCAGGTAATGTGCCCACCTCATCCTCTCAAAGTGCTGGGATTACAGGCATGAGCTACCATACCCAGCCTATGCAATGACTTTAGACAAGTTAGGAGAGTGCCTAGCAAAGTACCTGGGACATAAGTAGATTTTCTGTAAATGTTTGTGAACTTTGGCCCCATTGTGAGGAGAGACTGATCATATATTATTCCATTCTAGAAATAATTAACCATCTGTTTGATTTGGCTTTCAATGTAGAGTGCTGAGCTTTTTTCTAAAAGTGCTAGTAAAGCCAGTCCTCATTAAAAATACAGTCAGATGGGGCCAGGCACGGTGGCTCAAGCCTGTAATCCCAGCACTTTGGGAGGCCGAGGTGGGTGGATCACGAAGTCAAGAGATCGAGACCATCCTGGTCAACACGGTGAAACCCCGTCTCTACTAAAAATACAAAAAATTAGCTGGGCATGGTGGCACGTGCCTGTAATCCCAGCTACTCAGGAGGCTGAGGCAGGAGAATTGCCTGAACCCAGGAGGCGGAGGTTGCGGTGAGCCGAGATCGCGCCATTGCACTCCAGCGTGGGTAACAAGAGCGAAACTCCATCTCAAAAAAAAAAAAAATACAGTCAGATGAGGTTTGGTGCGGTGGCTCATGCTTGTAATCCCAGCAGTTTGGGAGGCTAAGGTGGTTGGATCATGAGGTCAAGAGATCGAGACTATCCTGGCCAACATGGTGAAACCCCATCTCTACTAAAAGTAAAAAATTAGATAGGTGTGGTGGCGCACACCTGTAGTCCCAGCTATTCGGGAGGCTGAGGCAGGAGAATCACTTGAACCCGGGAGGCAGAGGTTAAAGTGAGCTAAGATCGCGCCACTGCACTCCAGCCTGGGCAACAGAGCAAGACTCTGTCTCAAAAAAAAAAAATAGATGAGTCAGCAAAGTAAGTTATTTCAAGATTTGAAGAAACATGAGACAAAACAACTTTTTGAGTAATACTTTAACATATGAAATTTGTCAGTTAGCAGTTGAAAACCTTGTACTTTATCATTTGTCCCTTAACCATGGCCCACCATGGAAGATAAAAGATTAGAGACTTTGACATAGGGCAAAATGAAGAGTTTCTAAAGAGTCAAATTATTATTGCTTTCATTTCATAAACCAAACTGTTAAATTCATTTGTGTGTTCGGCATGGGTATGCACACATGTATGTGTTTCCTAGGTCAAGCATTTAGGAAAAACGTACTATGAAATATGACATAGACACAAAAAAGTTTATTAAAAATGTATATGTGGAGCCAGGCGCCATGGCTCATGCCTATAATCCCAGCACTTTGGGAGGCTGAGGTGGGTGGATCGCCTAAGGTCAAGAATTTGAGACCAGCCTGGCCAACATAGTAAAACTCCATCTCTACTAATAATACAAAAATTATCTGGGCATGGTGGTGCATGCCTGTAATCCCAGCTACTCTGGAGAATGAGGCAAGAGAATTGCTTGAACCCGAGAAACGAAAGTTGCAGTGAGCCGAGATCTCGCCATTGCACTCCAGCCTGGGTGACAAGAGCAAAACTCCAGCTCAAATAATAATAATAATAATATGTATCCTGTCAAAAACTCTCATTGCTACTTGGAATACATAGCTCAGTTATCTGTTTCACAACTATTCTCAAAGACTTAGTAGGAAGAATGTATATAATAGAAGTCCTGGCCGAGGACAGTGGCTCATGCCTGTAATCCCAGCACTTTGGGAGGCCGAGGCGGGCAGATCACCTGAGGTCAGGAGTTCGAGACCAGCCTGACCAATATGGCGAAACTCTGTCTCTACTAAAAATACAAAAATTAGCCGGGCGTGGTGGCGAGCAACTGTAATCCCAGCTACTTGGGAGATTGAGACAGAGAATTGCTTGAACCTGGGAGGTGGAAGTTGCAGTGAGCCGAGATTGTGCCACTGCACTCCAGCCTTGGTGACAGAGCAAGACTCCATCTCTCCCTCTCTCTCTGTCTCTCTCTCTCTCTCTCACTCACACACACACACACACACACACACACACACACACACACACACACAGGTCCTTACTATCAATGAAGTTACTGAACTCCATAAAAATAACTTCCACAATGGTGCAAATCACTTGATTAGTACAGTTGAATTCTTTATCACAACTTTCTGATAGGCCCTTATTGAGAGCTTCCCTAGGTAAGTTTTCTTTCTCAATGCCAGGTCTGACAGGCCAGAGTTTCAGCGCAACTCTGCCATGCATTAACTGTGAGACTGTGTTAACCTCTGTCTCTGCCCTTCAATATTTTCAAGAGTAAAATGAGGATAATCATAGTACTTGCTTCATAGGCTTGTTCCAAATATTGAGATAATGTTTTAACACAGTGCCTGGTCCACAGTGAATGTTAAAGATGTAGAAAATGGTAATCTTATTTAGCTAAAGGTAGACCCAGAAAGTACTTTCTTAGACTAAGGAAGTTTAATTTTGCTACTAAAAGGATATACTGTGTTAACCTACTGGGACGGTTTCTGAACGAACAACTTTATAGCAGAAAACAAGCTGCTTGGGGTAGAGGAGTAGGAGGTAGGGTTGACAGTGCTCAATAAGAGAGAAATTATTTAACCTCGTCTCTTTTTTTGTGGTATGACATTTCTTTTAAGGAAATTTTGATCCAAGGTACATCAGTGCTACTGCTTCCTCATAGTAAACATTTTCTTTTCCAAGTTATAAAGTGATAGTGAAAGGTTGAATGTTAACAAGGATGGACTTCAAAGCTCAGGTTCCTTTCTGTAAAATGAAGATCTCTTCTGGAGCCTGTTTATATAACCAAGCAGAAATAGAAAACACTGGCATTTATTAAAAATGGCTCTCTCCCAAAGGGGATTGTTTAATTATATGAGGCATGATTCTAAGACTGGTTTCCACAACTCACACCAGAAAATTCACTCAACAAACATAATTAAATGACCCTCTTTTTTTCCTCCCTAAGAAAACTGTGTTTTACAACATTTTGAAGCATACAGTAAACTTAATTATAGAGCGGGGCTTTATATAAAAACATACACAGTTTTAAATAAGACTTTTTAAATTCAAAATTTAAAAGCTGTGCCCTAAATGTTAATTGTGGTTGTGATAAACATAAGAACTTTTAGAAAATCAATACATGATTTAAGCTGTTAGAAAACACGCCACCCTCTTAAAACACATTTTTCCAGTGTCACATCGGATAAAGAAAACTCAAATCCAGTGTCCTTTGGATTTCAAGTTACCTTTGGGATAAACTTGGTTAAAAGTGTGTACTTGACCAGCCAGAAAGGACAGATATATAATTATTCAAACAAAAATTTACCTCACAAATATGTCTGGAGGTAAGTACTGAATTTATTGTAACTGGTACATTTCATAGTCCTGGTACAAGCTGTAACCACTATTTGCTAAAATTAGGTGTTTGCTTGCTCTGGAGATACTTCTGATAATCGCCTACCAACTTTTGCCTGATTTCAACCACCTTCCACGTGGCCAAGGAAAGAGTTGTGTAAACTACTCTGGGGTCATGTCAGTCTCCTCTGGCTTTTGCCCCAAATGTGCAGATAAGAGAACCTGAAACAGCCAGTCCTTGTACAGTAGTAGGCCATTCAGATTGGCGGGGGAGGGGAGGGCAGTGTCACCCAATCAGAAGCATAGTCGGTGCCCGTGGAACAATGAGCCGCTGATGAGGGTGTGGCCTGGAAAACGGCTCTTAGACAAAACTGTCATTTTATGGGTCATTTATATAGACAGACATGGCACTTCGGCTGTCTTCAGAATAATGTCACCCGGGCCCCTCTCCTGTCTTCTGCAGTCTTAAAAGACCCAGTCTAATTGAGGTCTGGCTTTTCCTCAGCCTTGGATGAAGTAGAGGTATGTGGAGGTAAGAGTCTCAGCAGAAAGAATGGTTGCAGAGCTGAAGATGAGGGCTACCATCAGGAAAGAAGACAGCTAGTGGAGTGCAGAGGAGTGGGAAAGCCTGGGGCTAGAAGTCAGGGTTCAAGCTTGTGTACACCTCTGTGTCAGTCCTTTACATGAGCTTAGAAGCTTGAAGGCTTAAATATTGCCTCATTTATCCTGGATGCTCTGTCTTTCTAGCTTACTCTCTTTATTTGCCTCTTCTGCAGTTTCTCACATGACATCCTCCTTTTTATCAGTCAACAACTACCAAGTGCCTACCACTTGAAGGGGGCTCTAGGAAGATGCTGTGGAGGAAATAAGGATATGTGGAACATGGTTTGAAACAGGGAGCTTACAATTCAGAGGAAGACAAACAGAAGCAGTTCAAAAGATAATCAAGGATATTTGTATGGGAAACAAGCCACTTAAGTGTAGACATTAAGAGCATAATAGCCCAGAAGAAAAATTACCATGGCTAGAGTAGGCATGCAAGCTTTCATGACAGATAACACTGTGCCTTTAAGTTCAGAGTATCTCCCTCTTTGGACTCTTGTGAAACCTGACTTTACATACAGATGAAAAGTTGAATATAAACTAAAATCTATTAGGAAATTCTAGAGGAGAGATTTAGAGAAACTGATGGATATAATCAAACCATAATTTCTCTTTTCATTTCTGGATACTACTGAGTTTTCTTTACACAATGCAAAACTACTCACTCTCTTCATTGAGGAATCCTTGGTTTATCTTTAGGGCCTCATTTACCTGCTTGCCTTTTGATTCACTCATTCCTAGGTGCTTCCATGCTTTGTCAGTACCCATGCTGTTTATGCTATATTCTTAATGAAAGAATTGGCCAAACAATTGGTAAGGGTACCATCAACATGCACTGAAAGTGCTCTTAAATTAAATACATTTTTTCTCTAGGTCATTTACATCCTCAAAGTTGCTATAAAGCATATACAAATGGGATATAGCATGATACAGTAGAATATCAACTTTCAAGTCCCAAAGACCTGGGTATTCCAGCTGTATAACCTAGGGCAAGTTAATATCTCTGTGCCTCAGTTGTCATTATCTATAGAAGGGATCAGGTCTGCTTCACAGTGTTGTTCTGAGGATTAAATGAGGCAACCTATGTAGAATTGATATGGCTCCAATAAGTAGAGGAACACCAGGGTTCTTGGTCCTCATGCCAGTTTAGATAAAACGATACAGATACGCGTGGAATGGTTTTAAGGAGCAAAAAGTTTAATAGGCAAGAAGGAAGAAGCTCCCCCATACAGAGACAAAGGGAGGGGGGCTCCAAATCCGAAAGAGGGAACCTGCAGTGTGGTGAACATCAGCCAGGTGTATATTACAAAGGCTGGAGGAGGCAGTGTCTGATTTGCATAGGGTTCAGGGGATTGGTTTGACCAGGCACATCATTCACGAAGCCCGTGAAAACGCTGGCCCTCCCACCCTAGCCTTTTAATATGCAAACACAGGGTGCCAAGATGTTCTACACACGCGGAGATATTTGAGGGCGGCCATGTTGCCAGGAACACGTGGGGCCAGGACAAGAAGTCCATGGGAATTGCCATGTTGAGCAGACCCAGTTTCTAATGGCCTGCATATCAAATGTTGCTGGCCTTGCTCTAAGAGCTGGGGCTTTACCAGAAACTTTTCTGGAAGTGCTTTAAAAAACAAAAACTTCCCAAGGACCCCTTTTCCTCTCCATCTGCCTAATTTCTTAATAACTCCTACAACAGAATGCTTCACGTAAAAAGGTCATAATAAATTATGATTACAACGTGGTATGTGCCTTTAGAAAGGTAAATATTGCTATCACTAATCATTTTGTGATGTTGCGGAACTTCAAGCAGAAAACTATATCTTCAAAAATAGAAAATTTCTATTATCTTTTGTGAGTGTTCATAAGAAACACCAAGGTATTCATTTTAGATGCCCCTGCCTTTTAAACCTATAATTTTCTTCTTTTAGTTTCACATCTGCATATGCCATTGTAATCTCAAAATGCATCTACTTTCCTTGTTTGGTAATCATAAACAGAAAAATCTGTCCAAGTTCTCAAATCACCTTAATTAAAACAATAGAACCTTAGCAATCATCTACTTCATCTCTACACTAACTAAAATCACCTCTACCCTCACAGGTAGATAGCTATCCAATACTTCCTAAACTGCCCAGTTTGAGCATTCATTCTCACATTGTTTATATTTGTCCTTCAGTGATCACCAGTCATTGATCCTAGTTGATCCTGAGAAACAAAGAATAAATCTAACCCACTTTCCATCCAGTGTTAACAACTTTAGCAAAACAGTCTATACTGTGCATGTGAGGAGAGTATGGTATTGCCAAGTTTGAAGGGGCTGATAGTAGGGCTGCTAGAAAGAATGCAATGTTTGGAATATATTTATACTAAAAAGTGGTTGTTTATTTAAAATTCAAATTTAACTGAGCATCCTCTGTTTTTATTAGCTCAATCTGTCAATCTTACAAGTGGTAGCTAAAGAAATCAAAGCTGAGCTAGTGAGCTGGGGGCAGGAGAGGGAAGGATAGAGCTATGCCCTGCTCAGTTCTGCTCAGTCCTATCTCAGTTCTCTGGCTGCTCAGCACATCTGTGGAGGCCACTTCAGAGGCCCACATTACACTTTGCATATGGACCTGTGTCCCCTACTTACCCCACAACTTTCCCAGTTCAGCCCTATTTGGGGCTGAAGTTGAGTAGCTGAAGACAACTACCATTTTAACCAAAATGTCGTAATTTCCTGACTTATTTCCAATCCCTTCAATCATTCCTCATATTCTAGAGTCAATAAACTTCAAAGAGGTCAATGAACTTCAATCCTCTGGATTAGATTTGAACACTTTAATGTACCTTAAAATTGCATTGCATCCAAAGAGCTAATTAACATATGAAAAGGTGCTTAATCTCCTTAGTACCAACAAGGAAACACAAAACCACAGATACCACCACTTAACTAGCAAGATGACTAAAACGTGAAAAGACTGACAACACTAAGTGTTGTCTGAGATTCGTAGCAACTGAGCTGTCATACCTTGCCTGAGGGAGTGTAAATTGGTACCATCACTTTGGAAAGCTGTTTGGCAAGATCTACTCAAGCAGGAGTATCCAATCTTTTGGCTTCCCTGGGGCACATTGGAAGAAGAATTGTCTTGGGCCACACATAAAATAA